TCAACAAGGCATAGGCTTTGAGGTTTTTTCCTCCTATTCTCCCCTCCTGGAGCGATGCTAAACTGCACTCGCCACACACACATTTGCTCGGGTCTGCTGAGCCAGTGGGCAGTAGGAAAAGGCAACAAGCCAGTTTCACTTGTGACTTTCCTTCAGCGAGTGGTTCAGGTCCACAGTGTGCAGAGCACTGTGCTAGGTGCAGGCTTTTCAGAAAGTAACACTTACCAGTCGCCAAGGACTGAATGAACGGGTGGCCTTGCCTTCGTGTACACCGTGTTCTAACCCATCTATCTTACTTCCTCCCTGGTGACCAGGGATGGCCAAGCAGTGCTAGTGCTGTCCCCGACCTAATTCTACCGACCACCTTGTAGCTTTTCCCCGTCATCCAATCTCCTGCCAACTTTTATATCACATCACAACCGGAGCTCCAAGGAACTGCCTGATGGGACACTCACTAGGGACCACCCGTCTCATCACCTTCCAGTCCGAGGCCACCGGAAGTTGCTCTGCGCTCTCCCAGTCCATTTTCAAAACAGAGGTCCTCATTCTTTCATAACTACTATGTATAGTATGGGAGCTCTGGTAGCATAGTGGCTAAGACACTTGCCTGCTAACCAGACGGCTGGCGGTTCAAACCCACCAGCCACTCCTCGGAAGGAAGGTTGGGCAATCCTACTTCCGTAGTGATACTGCCTCGGAAACCCAAGGAGGGGTCGCTATGAGTCGGGTTTGACTCGACGGCACATAACAACAACATATATAGTATATTTCCTATTAGGCAGCTACACAGAGCCAGGCCCTGAAGTCTGAACCTACCTCAGAAGCAAAACAAACACCACATGATGCTGAAAACGTTGTTATTTCATTGGTGGGGGCGGGGGGAGAGTTACTTGTGAAAATTCATTCATTACAAGTAGAACAGAATCACTCCTCTGGTCAGGTATCACACTAACTTCAGAAAAACAAATGTGCCTAACTTTCAAACAGCAGCAGAACAAGAGACCTAGAGTTTTAACGGAGTTCCGGAGTTCCTTAATTGTTAGAGATCTGCCCAAATCAGAAACCAAACACACTGCCATCAGATCGATTCCAACTCACAGCAACCCCCACTGGCTTTCTGAGCCGTAAATCTTTACAGACACAGACTGTCCCGTCTTCCTTCCACTGAGTGGCTGGTTGGCTTTGAACTCCTGACCTTACGGTTAGCAGCCAAATGCCCTACCCACCATGCCACCAGAGCTCCTTAGATATTTGCCCAGGTACCTTATTTTGACAACTGAAGAAATTACTTAAACTTCATTACTTATAAGGCGCGCCAATGGCATAGTGTGTAAGGCGCCTGACTGCTAACCATCAGGTCAGCGGTTCAAACCTACTGGCCGCTCCTCAGGAGCAACAGCCACAGAAGCACAGTGGGGGGTCGCTCCGAGTCAGAATCAAGTCGATGGCAGTGGGTATGTTTTATTACTTATGCAAGGCCCCTGGGTTGGCAGTGCAAATGGTTTATGCACTTGGCTGCTC